CACACCGTAGACTTCAAGACACAAACGAACTAAAACTCAAAGGCTGAAAAAAAATATCAAGGAAGCAACACTCAAAAAAGAGCAGAAGTGGCAATATTAATCTCTGACAAAATAGACTTTAAAGTAAAATCCACCACAAAGGATAAGGAAGGACACTACATAATGATTACAGGGTCAATACACCAGGAGGACATACCCATAATAAGTATTTAGACACCCAACAACAAGTCTTCAAAATACAAAAAAAAAAAAAAAAAAAAAAACCCGTTGCCATCGAGTCAATTCCGACTCATAGTGAGCCTGTAGGACAGAGTAGAACTGCCCCATATGGTTTCCAAGGAGCAGCTGGTGGATTCAAACTGCTCACCTTTTGGTTAACAGCTGAGTTCTTAACCACTGCGTCACTAGGGCTCCTGTTATCAATGTATTAATCACTAATTCATCAATTTCATCATATTAAACAAAATTTTCCCCTTGGCTAGCTCTGTTTTTTCCCCCCTTAATTCAGATTAATTGAGAAAAGATTTCTGATTACTTGTGAAGAAGTCACTCCAAGTCATGCTCCTACAAGTTAAAATTCTTTTTAGTTCTGTAGATATAAAAGAAATAAGGGTCCAACTTATCTCCAAAAGACATGGTCCTGATGTCAGATGACATTATAGTTTTTCAGTGTAATTTTTCAAATTGTTAGCGTCCTAATTGCATGTTTTATTCTGCACAGAAAGACTATAAAAGGGATCTGGAGACTGAAATTAAGGGAAAAGGCATGCAGGTGGACACAGAAACACTGGATATCCAGAGAGCTAAGAAAGCGTCCGAAATGGTCAGCCAGGTAAGAAAGTAATGTGACAGAAAATTAAACAACAACAGCAAAACATCAAATTGTATATAGAAAGAATATAAAGGTGAAAATTATGTGAACGTGCAGTATAATAGAAATTCCCATGTTTGGAATGATTTATTTGCAGACATATCATATCCACATGGTATCTTTGAGTTTCAAACATGTAAATATCTACATCGCTATGGAAGATTAGGCAAAGCTCTGAAAAGTATTTTCTGTTTTCATAGAAAGAATATAAGAAAGACTTAGAAAATGAAATTAAAGGGAAAGGGATGCAAGTGAGTATGGATATCCTGGATATGCTTCGAGCCAAGAGAGCATCTGAAATCTATAGCCAGGTTGGTGGAGAATGAAGGTACTTGTGTTCTCATGTCCAATCACTATGTGCTTTGTGTGTCTGTATGATTTATATCTTTTTGAGGGCATTACATTCAAAGTCTGTACACTCAATTATGAAGGAACGATTGGCCAAACTCACTAATAACCTCACTAATGGAAGGGACAACTGTTGTAGCTTCAATTCAGCAGACATTATTGAGTGCCAAAGCTGCCCCCTATTGGGGCCCCGTTGTGAGTTCAAGGACATTTTGACCTTTTTGTTTTGACTCCATCGCATACTTGGATCTAATGCTCTTTGCTCATACATACTACAGAAAAATAATTACAAACTGTCTTTTAAGGAGCCCTGGTGGCAGAATGGTTAAGCCCTCTGCTGCTAACCGAAAATTTTACAGTTTGAACCCACCCAGCGGCTCCCCGGGAGAAAGACCTGACAATCTGCTTCCATAAAGATTACAGCCTAGACAACACATGGGTCAGTTCTACTCTGTCACATGGGGTTGCTGTGAGTCAAAATTGACTTGACACCAACAATATATGTCTTTTACCCATTTTATAGTGAATATTATTATTAAAATAATCCCAAATAAATTAATGGTGGCTAAAACTACAAAAAGTGAAATTTATTATTAACTAAAATTAAGTGAAGAATAAATGGTTTTGGTAAAATTTAGATTTGCCAAGTATACCTGGCAGATATTCTTGAGAAAAACTGGATGTGGGAGAAAGAATGGCTGCAAAAGAAGACATTTAATGAAAGAAGAAGTTACTGATAAAATCTGACTTGGGCAAAAATATTCATGAGTGAATCGTATCTTTGCTATAAAATTTACGTGGAAATGAATGAATCCCAATGGAAAAAATAGTAAAGGAGAATGAAAAAAAATTGAAATGATTATAGTAAATTGACCAAGGGATTAAGTTTGATTAATGAACTTCAGGCTGAAAATTATTTTTAACAAAATTTTCCCCAATTTTTAAAATTCTGGTTAAAACATAAACAAGGAGACTAAATATCCACTGGTTCAAATGGAGGCATCAAGACGGTGGGATCAAAATGTCAAGGGTGTCCTTGTCTGTTTCTCAGCTTCCTCAGATGAGACAGCAGTTGAGATGGTGCCAAAGTGCATTTGTACAAATTTCTACATTTGTCCTCAGTGCATCAGAATGGAACATGGGCTCAGAGAAGTTGAGTGTACCAAATTGGCAGAAATAAAATCCTAGATTAATACATAAAACGGACAAATGGCCATTTGAGTCAGTGGAGAAAAGTTGCTTTCTGAAGAATGCTAAGCTCATTTGTTCATTCAGCTTATACTTCCTGAGCATCTGTTTGGATGCAGAATTAGACATGGTTTTTCGCTTGGTGATGTACAGCCGAATTTAATAATCCAAATAATCATACAAATATAGTATCATGAACCAAAAGAAATACTACCAGAAATTAAAAATATTGAGAGTGAAGGCTTCCTAGAGGAAGTGATCCCTGATCTGTCCGATTTCCTGCTGTAACTTAACAGTGTTAATGTTTTGGGTTGTGATGTAAAGATACATCTGATTTTAATCAATTTAGGAGCCCTGGTGGCACAGTGGTTAAGAGCTTGGCTGCTAACCAAAATGTTGGCAGTTGCAATCCACCAGCCAGTTCTTGGAAACCCTATGGGGCAATTCTACTCTGTAGGGTCACTGTGAGTCTGAATCAACTTGATGACAATGGGTTTGGTTTTTTTTTAGGATACAATACACTACGGAAACCAGTCTACTATTTCTGCCCAGTTACGAATAGGGGAGCTTGTGCGTTTGAGGCAAATGTGTAGTATGTACCTTCTGGGAGCCCTGGTGGTGCAGTGGTTAAAGTGCTCAGCTGCTAACTGAAAGATCGGGGGTTTGAACCCACCAGCCACTCCACAGGAGAAAGATGTAGCAGTTTGCTTCGTAAAGATTTACAGCCTTGGAAACCCTGTAGGGTAGTTCTGCTCTGTCCTCCAGAGCTGCTATGAGTCAGAATCGACTGGATGGTAGTGGATTTGTTTGTTTATTTTTTTGTAGGAGGCAATGGACTACATCAGGTGTAATGATGTGGTGGTACATTCAGGCACGGGCAGTAGCCACCTTTGTTAACAAGCAGCAGTGTGCCTTAATAGTTAGCTTCACTGACTTTGGAACCAGACAGCCTGGATTTAATCCCAGCTCTGACACTTACTGGCTAATGCCTCAGTTTCCCCATCTGTAACATGGGGATAATAACAGTATCTGCTTTGGGGGCTGATTAAATGAGTTCTATGTCTTAAGTATTTTGACTGGAACGGGGTAAGAACCCTGAGGAACAAAACGTGTAACATAGCAAGTCCTACATAAGTACTGGTACTACTACAAGGAAAGGAGTCCTGGTGGCGGAACAATTAAGCACTTGGCTGCTAACCAAAAGGTTGGTGATTTGAACTTACCCAGTGGCCCTGTGGGAGAAGGACCTGGCAATCTCCTCCCATAAGGATTATGGCCAAGAAAATCCTATAGGTCAGTTCTGCTCTGTCACACGGGGCCGTTGTGAGTCAAAATCCACTGGATGGCACCCAACAACAGTAACAGCATTCCTGTAAGTTATTGTTCAGGTTGCATCAAGGCTTACCGTGTATATTGTTGTTGTTGTTGTTGTGTGCTGTCAAGTCGATTCCGACTCACAGCGACCCTGTAGGACAGAGTAGAACTGATTCATAGGGTTTCCAAGGCTGTAATCTTTATGGGAGCAGATTACCAGGTCTTTTCTCCTGTGGAGTAGCTGATGGGTTTGAACTACTGACCTTCTGGTTAGTGGCCAAGTGCTTAACCATTACACCACCAGGGCTCCTTCATAGTGTATATTAAACCAAAAACCGAGCTCATTGCCGTTGAGTTGATTGTGACTCATAGTGACCCTATCTATTAGTAGATAGAAAATTGAGTTTTTTATCTCAACTACAAAAATGCTAGTACCTTTCTCCCTAGGCTCCCTGATCAAATGTATGTTTCTCTGAAGTAGGAAGCAAAGCATAGATCCGGAAGCATGAAAGGAAGTAGGCATAGATAGCCAGGTTACTTGGAGGAGCTATGAGGTCACATTGAATAGGGACTGCCCATGAAAGAGAAGGTCCTAAACTTGAAAAGAGCACAGTGGTCATGCCTCAGGTGTTTGGCCAGAACAGGGTAGGAACCCTGAAGAACAATGAACCATCTCTACTCTGCCTGAGTAGAGATGAGGTTGCTCCGCTGGACTCTTTCCTTACTCCACTAGCTTTTTATTCCGTTTTTTGCTGTTACATCAACAACTGTTTCGTATCACAAATAATTTAGAGCCATGTAGTATGGTAGAGTTGGAAGAAGCAGTATTATCTTTCTCTTTCACTCTCTCTCTCTCGCACACACACACAACACATACACATACACACATAGTTTCAGATTCATTGTAAATGTTTATATTTTTAGAAAAAATATAAAGATGAAGCAGAGAAGATGCTTTCTACCTATTCTACTATGGCAGATACTCCTGAAATTCAGAGAATTAAGACAACTCAACAAAACATTAGCACAGTGAGTAGCTATTTTTTCTTTTCATTTGCCTCCTTGACATTTTATGTTTTGTAAGAGGAATGTTTTTTCCCTTGTCTGATTTTTTGCTCATTTGCTTGACTTTTCTGTCAAATGTATCATCTTTACTTCTTTAAAATAATAAGAATACCAAATGTTCTTACAAATTACAATTTGTCATGGCTGTTTTGACATTACTAATTCAAATTTTCCTCATTGGTACCTACAACAGTTATTTTTAACTGAATTTTGAAATTTAACTCAGAAAAGAATTATAATCTTCTATACAGATTTTATTTTGAAGTTGAAAATAGTCATATGAAGTAATTTCCTTCCTGATTATTGATTTTATTTGTAGTGATAATCTATGGGTTTAGTAGTTCATACCAATTCCTAAACTTTCATATTTTTATTTTGAGGAATAGGAATTTCATTAGCACCATTAATTAAGAGATTGGGTCTACATTTAATGGATGTATAAACTTGCCAAATGATAAAAGTCAATATTTTAGTGTAGAATTAACTTAGTCATTTAGTACTTAAGCAAGTGTCTCATCATAATTTAAACTCTGTAAAGTTTGAGGACTTTGGCAATCTTTTTCATAATTACTGGCAAGCCCCAACCCTCAAGGAATGCGGTCAAGTGCATTGGGGTCCTCGCAGGGGGGGCCATGCTGTGGTGAGATATGAAAAGTTGTGTTGAGAGGATCAGGGAGGCTGTTTTACCCTCAACTTCTGTGACTCCATAGTATTCCAGATTTCTAGCTTATGAAGGAAATCTGCTCTCCTACAATAGCCACCACCTCGCACTCGGGGCTCACTGAATTGCCAGATGTCAAGAGAGGAAGTAGTTCTGTCCTCTTATGCCTTTCTTATAATTCTGTTTTCCCATAGAGGGCTTTTGTTTTTTGTTTTGCTTTGCGTCTGGAAGGAGGAGTGGGTGTTGGGAGGGGTGGAGAGACACATGGGAAGGTTAAATCTAAGTTGAAGGTGAGGAAAATAGACTTTGAATTAATGATGTTGACAATAGAGCTATTACTTTCTTCGAAGAGAACGAGAACATCTTGTTTGAAGAGTAGCAGTTACTTAAAATTTCATGCTGTTTTTGAATTAAATGATAACTGCTCTAGTGACCTTTTGTAATATGTGCTTTGATTTTTCTCAGAAACACGTGGTACGTTTTTATATTTGAAGAGGGAAACCCCTTTTAAGTTTGCCTGCCACTTTATCTTCTCAGAGCAGATAATCTGTAATGAACTAAAGTACCAGTCATGTTTGAGAGCAGGTATTAGAGGGTTATTTAAAGGCTGTGGAATATGGAATTAAAGTTGGAAATTTATTTTCATAATGCATTATTTAATTAATAAATTATAATGTTGGTACTTATAAATAGAAGCTGTATTCACATTACTATAAAACCTGTGGAATTGCCTTTCTTTTATAATAATTTGTCCTAGGACTTAAATTTCTAATAAGCCTAGAGTTATTCTTTTCCTTCTCTTTATAATAAAGGTATTTTATAAAAAAGAAGTAGGATCTGGCACAGCAGTAAAAGATACCCCAGAGATTGAACGAGTAAAGAAAAATCAGCAGAATATTAGTTCAGTAAGTTCTCTATAGCTTTAATTATCCTTTCCCAAAACAGACGTAAGCTAGATGAATGTTGTTAGTTCTTTACTAAACTGGCTGCGTTTTTCTTTTATTCTTCACTCTATTTAAATGCTGTTTCATCAAATATCGAAGGTCTAACTTTCAGAATGAAGACTGTAGCCTTGTTCCCCTTGAACCTAGAGCATTGTTTCATTTTGCTATATCATGGTGCATAAGAGATACATCATTTTAATAGTATAGTAATGATATCTATGATTAGATTTCATCTCTTTGAACAGAATTTTAGCTGTATTAAATTTTGCCAATAAAGGATAAATTTCAGTAGTTTTCCACAAGTTGGAAGAAAGAAATTTTACCCTGATAGAGTGATTAAAGGCCCTAGGACATATACGTGGTGGCTTTAGTGAAAATTTAGATTTAAAAAATAGTACTGGTTCTTTTTACCCAATGTCAGTCACATTTCTGAGCTTCCTCTTTGACACATTTTTCCTTGTGTTGCTGCTTTCCAGCTGTATGTATCTTCTGCTTTTGCTGGCTTCCAGCAAAGAAAAACACACACCTTCAGTATCATAATATCATATGTAAAATAACTTACCCTCCAGTCGCCTTTAAAGAACCCTGGTGGCACAATGTTTAAGGGCTCAGCTGCTAACCAAAAGGTTGGTGGTTCAAACCTACCCAGTGGCTCCTTGGGAGAAAAACCTGGCAGTCTACTCCGGTGAAGATTACAACCTCGAAAACCCAATGGGGCAATTCTCCTATGTCACATGGGGTCACTATGAGTTGAAATTGACTCGATGGCACCTAACAGCAACAATCACCTTTTGTTTGGGGGTAGGTAGGGTAGAGAAAGTGCTTAATGTTGTGGATAAGAATTCTTCCATTTAATGCTTGACATTTAAAATGGATAATTACTACTCTTACCAATAGGCATTCTTCTATGTACATTTAGTATATTTAGTTTCTTGTTAAGGAAGTAAAAAGGGTTCATTTCCATAAACTCCTTCCCTGATCCATCTCTTCATCTTTACCTTTGGAGGCAGTGCCTTACGGAAACTTTCTTGAAGTAATCCAGGTAGAAATGCCTTGATGAAGCTCATCTGTCAGTCAGTGGGATAGTTACACAGCATCCTAAGGATATGAGCGTGCTCTGGCATTTGTGGAGAAAGTAGGAAAGGCTACGAGGCAAGGTAAAGCTGTAGTTAAACGTACTTCAAAAATGAATCTAAAAAAAGAAAATCTGCAAGCAAATCTCTGTAGCATGAATGAGACTATCTCTTGAAGAAAGCACAAGGTGGAGGACCAAGAGGCTCGAGATGTTGATGACGTTGCTGACTGTTCTGATCCACCGTGGTGAGAACCTGTGTCAGGCAACAACACTCAAATGTGGTAGAGAAATTAATTTGGGATGGAAGTGTAGAATGTTTGTTTCCTTCATTCTCAAATGTTACTATTTGAAATGTACCCATCTATGTACTGTGATATAATGTTATAAATATTCTGTGGTGTGCAGTTCTGTTGCCTACAGTGAAATGATTCTGCCATTTTGATTAGTTTAGAGTCATATGTAAAACAAAAATGGTCATCTTTGATCATGTTTAGCTTCTCATCCGAGGAAAATCACACAAAGTAGCACAGTATATCATTTCTCCTCCCAGTGTCCCACTGCCTCTTCTAGCAAACAATAAATGTATAGTTCTGTATCTCTATGAGGCTGTTCCATAAACTCCTGCTTAGTATTCAAATGGAAAGTTGCCCTTTCAAGATTAGCTATATCTCTCAAGCCAAGGCATGATTCGCTAACATTTAAAGATCTCGACATTTTCCACCTCCGGAGTACAAGCATTTTAGCTATTAGCTTTCTCAGTTAAAATCTGTTTCTTGAGTTTTATTTAGAGTTAGCCATTCTCAGTGAACTCTCAATTTAACTGTTTTAGATCTGGACTAATATTGTTACACACATTAAATCCACACGTACAAAGATGTAGGTAATATCTAGGACATTTAGATTAGATACCCTTTCTTTATGTCAGCATGGATTTCAACCTTAATCATATTAAATATTAACCAAATAATCCATTGCCATTGAGTTGATTCTGACTCATAGCGATCCTATAAGACAGTGTAGAACTGTCCCATAGGTTTTCCAAGGAGCAGCTGGTGGATTTGAACTGCCAACCTTTTGGTTAGCAGCCATATCTTTTAACCGCTGTGCCACCAGAGCTCCATTTTAAATATTACTGAGTTCTAAAACTTGTTTTGTGTAGATTTAGGTCTTTGCTAAATTTCAAAATATGCCTCCTATGTCTAACCAATGATTCTGTATATATAAATATATATAAAATGTCTTTTTTTCTCTAATCCAATCTTGCATGAGTTTTTATTGCTGTTGTTAGCTGCTGTCAGGTTAGCCCCCAACTCATGGCAACTCCATGTGTTACACAGTAGAACTGCTCGGTAGGGTTTTCTTGGCTGTAATCTTTATTGAAGTAGATCGTCAGGTCTGTCTTCCATGGCACATGAGCTTTAAGCATATTTAAAATACTACCTGATATAACAGTATTACTAATGATTTCACAAGTTGAAAGAGCTGTTTCTTGTCCCACACAGTAGCTGGTATTGCCGTTTGTCTGGTTGATCATCGTATAATTAGATCTGAAGGAGGAAGCTTTTGAATGAAGTAGATGCGAGGATATAGGTGGGCTTTTACATAACATGATGTGTCGGTAGAACTTCCTGACTTTTTTGTTGTTGTTGTGCTTTAGGTGAAAGCTTACAGCCCAAGTTAATTTCTTATACCGAAATTCATACACATATTGTTATGTGACCCTAGTTGCAGTCCCTATAATGTGACAGCATACTCCCTGTTTCCACCCTGGGTTTTCCGTGTCCATTCAACCATCTCCTATCCCTTTCTACCTTCTCATCCCGCCTCCAGAAAGAAGCTGCCCGTTTAGTCTCATGTATCTACCTGAACTAAGAAGCACACCGCTCTTGGGTGTTATTTTATGTTTTATAGTCCAGTCTAGTCTTTGTCTGAAGAGTTGGCTTCAGGAATGGTTTTAGTTCTGGGTTAATAGAGTCTGGGGGCTATGTCTTCTGGGGTTCCTCTAGTCTCAGTCAGACCATTAAGTCTGGTCTTTTTACTAGAATTTGAGTTCTACACCCCACTTTCCTCCTCCGTCAGGGACTCTCTATTGTGTTCCCTGTCAAGGAGGTCATTGGTGATAGCCAGGCACCATCTAGTTCTTCTGGTCTCAGGGTGATGGAGTCTCTGGTTTAGGTGGCCTTTTCTGTCTCGGGCTAATATTTTCCTTGTGTCTTTGGTGTTCTTCATTCTCCTTTGCTCCAGGTAGGTTGGGACCAATTGATGCATCTTAGATGGCCGCTTGCAAGCTTTTACGACCCCAGACGCCACTCACCAAAGTGGGATGCAGAGCATTTTCTTAATAAACTTTGTCATGCCAGTTGACCTAGATGTCTCCCGAAACCATAGTCCCCAGACCCCCTACCCCTGCTACTCTGTTCCTCGAAGTGTTTGGTTGTGTTCAGGAAAATTCTTAGCTTTTGGTTTAGTCCAGTTGTGCTGACTTCCCCTGTATTGTGTGTTGTCCTTCCCTTCA